CCCCCCTGTATATTACCGTCTATTCGAGGGGCCTCGCCCCCGAGTTCGAATCCGGACGTATTTATTGATGACATCTGAGTGCACTCAGCAGCATGCACCGGAGCCTTGTCAGCCTGGCTCGATGCGCCGCTGCAGGCAGGGGCTGCGCCAGCTGTCATCTGCTGCTCTCCGCGGCGGATAAGGTGAGCGACGGACGAGGAGCGGACGCGGGAACGAAGGTCATCTCCCTTTCTCGCTCTTTCTCTGTCTCTCTGACTTATGTGCCCCACATGAATAAATGATGACTCAAGTATATGATCAGATCTCTACCCTACTTTCCCCATCCTTCTTCCTCACCCTCCTGCAGATGACCTGATCACCTTCTGGGCCGGCTTAAGCTACAGGGTCTGTCTGCACACTGCTGTTCCGGTCCCCTGCGGCCGGTCCAGTCCGCCGTCCGCTCCCCAGAGCTCCCAGTCCGACACAAAGCCCTCGCGCCGGCCAACCGATCGCCGTCGATAGCAGCCGTCTCTACGTCCGTGGAGCTTTTGTCTAAGAATGATCCATTGTGTTCCAAAGTTGGCCCGCGCACCTTCTCCGTAGGATAATCATCATCCTCATCTCGCTATCTCCCGAGCTCTCTTTTGCTCTCTAAAAATAACCGACCCCAGCCCAGGGATGCTGCGCGGCCGGCCCGGTGGGAGGCCGCGCTCTCCTGGAGCAACCCGCCCACGCTCCTCCACAATGGTGTGCTTTTCATGCTCTATTCTGTTATTTTACGCTATAATTTCTCGCCCCCTTTTGCGTCTCTCTCCCTCTCCCTCCCTCCCTCTCTCTCTCACTCACCTCTTTTCCCCACCGACTGAAATGGCTTGCCTCCTTTGGCAAACGAACCGCTTTTGATACGCTGCCCGCCAGACGCATTTAAAAAAAATATATATCTGCTTATGATGGCAAATGTAAAAAGATTTATGGAAAATCACTAGATTATCTACTTTTTCATGTACATGCACATGTGGTAAGTGGCTCTTGTAATTGTTCAAACAAACGAACTGGGGGTTCAGCACTGAAACCTTTTGTCACGTACTGTGCTCGTAATTTATTCCTACGTGTCTTGAGGGGTGTCGCATCTTTTATTTTTTTGGTAACAACGAAATTTCAAGAACGAACATGACAGGCTAAACTGGTGCTAAATTTCTCATGCCATTTTATTTTGGTTTAATTTGCGAGTTTGCGGAAGTGCAAAGTGTAAGCGAAAACAGCCCGAAAGCGCAACCTTTGAGCGGCACGAAAGATGGTATGCTCTGCTATGGGGTTCGGCGCACGAATCACGAAATGACCAATTCCGTGAACTGGAAACGAATAATCTCTCGAGCGAGTCGCAACCAGGACACGCTTTCAGTGCGCTCAGGCGACTCATCCGCGACCGTAGAGCGAATAATTTATTCCAGATGGTCCCCCCAACCCCCAAAAAACATTCCGCTACGCTGCGCTTACATTTTTGTGCAGTGAGGGCCGACGTCTGCGCTTCTTTATTTACTGCACCATTTATTTAAAGCCAAAAGCAGCAGGCTAAGGGGAGAGAACGATAGAAATGGGGGAACAAGTGAGCCGCCTTTAAGAGGGAAGAAATAAACTACTCTACGCTCTCACTGTTAAACTTACAACTTTACGAGAGTACAAGATGGTGACAACTGCGTATCATCTGCAGATGCATGCTTAAAATAATGTCATAGTCTTGAATGTTTTTTTCATAATGTATCATCCGTCAGAATAAAAATGCGGCGGAAACTTGACGCATCTCGAAGCCTCTTTTCCGGTGTTGGCGCCCGTCCGGCCGGTGCGCGGGAGCTGCACGCCCGCCGCAGCAACGGGGCGCAACAAACCGTCATTAGCGAGTAATAGCGACGGCGCACACGTGCGGCCACGTGGCCTTTGTCACGTGTAATTAGGCTCCGCGATAGTGTTCCGCGCATATAGTGTGCGGCGGCGGGAAATTCAAAGCAGAGTAAACACTCGGGAGCAGGAACCGTGTGTGTAGCGTCTCACAAAGGCAGCGTCGCGCGTCGAAGAGGCATACGGCATGTTATTGCGATACGTCTATTTTATTTTGCGCGTGCTCGTTCGTGTGTGCGCCCACCTTGGCGCTATATGGCTCTAAAAGACGACACGGCACACAATATGTACACGCAATAAGAGATAGAGAAAGAAAGAAAAGAACGCAATAGAGAGGCGGGAGGGAGGGAG